CCTGGGAAGATGGAAGGACGCCTCAAAATTTTTAGGTCCCAAAGCTCAAGCATAGGCCTAAATGCTTAAGCCTAAACCTCTAGAGCTCGAGCACAAGATTTTGTGCTCGAGCACAAATCCAAGAACATTAGAAAAATTTTTAAGTGTTGGAAGAAAAGACGCTTCAGAAATTATTGATCAAAAAAATGGTTAAGTAGACAAGTAGTGCTCGAGCATAACCTTTTGTGCCCAAGCACAAGCAGAAGAGCTCGAGCATAGAGTTTTGTACTCGGGAATTTTTTTTCCTAAGGGTTTCTTTAAGTGCAAGAAAATTGTAAAACATGTCTTCTTTGTTTCCTTATGGTCTAATTATTCCCAAAAGCTGTAAAGGCCATCCCGGGGGGACTAGGACTTGATCTCCACTATAAAAGAAGATAAAGAGACATAAGGAAGCTTTCTTGGCAATTTTGAGATCTCGTGGTGGCTTTTAGGGTTTTAAAATTCTCTTTAACGATTGAAAAAGAAGATCCTAAGAAGAAGAGCTACAGTCCATGGAGATGATTTTTACACCAGTAACGATGCTATCATCCATCTCCATGAGTAGCTAAATCTTCTCTTAGGGCATTGATATAACCCTAGTCTGAGTAATATGGTTTAATTGTTCTTAACTTTTGGAATTTTCATTGTTTAAGTATTTTAATTGCATAATTATGAGTAATTGACTTAGGATTTCTAAGCAATTGGATTTTTAATGAATGAAAATGGTTTTTGATAGAATAACGTCTTGTTTTAGAATTAATTTCACTTAAATCAAATCCAAACTATTTTTATTGTTAAAGATTGGCGGCTAAAGGCTTCTAATAACGACATGAGTAGTGATCATACAATGGTACTTAAATTATATCATGAATGAATGTTTTGATAATCTATGCTTAGGGAAGACGAGTTATACTGCATATTAGTTTAGAATTGTTAGATAGATAATTCGTGCCAACCAAAAATATATTATAGCATAACATTCATTTATGATTTATCCTCTTGAAATTGAATGAAAATGAATGTGAAATCATTTAATTCCCAATAATGCATAAATATTGAAATTCCTGAAGATTGAAACAATTGATTCTATTATGAGACTAGTGATGAAGTCAAGCCCTAAGTATTTCTTCCATTGATCTCATTCTTTAATAAATTTGCTTATTTTAATTTTTCATGATGTTTAGACATAATCAAACAAATAATTCATCTTTCTTTAAATTAAATTAGCAATTAATTTTACACTTGACAGTCCTTGAGGTTCGACACTCTCAATATAGTCCTATGATTCGTTCTATTATGAGTGGTTTATTATTAAAAACACGCATTATTTTGTAACAATGAAAAAGGTGAATGTGTTTTGAAAGGAATTAGAACTTCTGATAATTCCTAAGTTGTGTATTCAGATCATTCACCTATGTATTTTTCTGTAGTTGCTGATGAGGCAATTTTATAGCATAAAAGACTTGGTCATGTGAATTTTAATGATTTGGTGAATTTGTTTAATAATGATCTTGTTCAAGGTTTAATGAAATATGTGGTCCATATCAATTAGGAAAACAAACTAGAGTGTCGCATAAGAGACTTAGCCATAGAGTCATTATTCGACTTTTAGAATTGATACATATGGATTTGATGGGTCACATACACCTGCTAACATTGGAGGAAAAAGATATTTGCTTGTTATGGTTGATGATTATTCTGGATTTACATTAATTGCCTTTTTGCGAAAAAAGTTTGATACTTTTGTCAATTTCAGGTTTATTTGCCAACTGATCAAAATGAAAAGGGGTATCGAATAACTCGGATTAGGAGCGATCATAGAGGTGAATTCGAACCTAAGAAGTTTATTGAATATTGTGATAAGTTTGGCATTAAGCATGAATTTTCATCGCCTAAAACACCACAACTGAATGGTGTAGTAGAAAGGAAAATAAGACAATAGCAGGTATGGCTCGTACTATACTTCATGAGAATAAAATTGTTAGTCATTTTTGGGCTGAGTTAGTACGTACTGCTTGTCATATCCTAAATATAGTGTGTCTTAGGCCTGAAACTAAAAAGACTCCATATGAATTGTGGTATGATCGAAAGCCCATTGTTAAATACTTTAGAGTCTCTGAAAGTAAATGTTATATCCTTAGAGATAGGAAACATTTAGAAAATTTTGACTATAGAAGTGATGAAGGTGTCGCACAGCTAAAAAGTTTTGTTAATCCACATAATCCTGATTATGTTTTTCATCTTAAAAAGGCTCTTTATGGTTAAAATCAAGCACCTAGAGCATTGTATGATGATAAGTTAACTTCTTATCTAATGCACAAGGGCTTTCAAAGAGGGGGAGCGGATAAAATATTGTTTATTATCAGGAAAAGAAATTTTTTTCTTATTGCTCAAATTTATATGGATGATATTGTTTTTGGTGCTGCTTGTGATAACCTTGTTAATGATATTGCTAAAAATATGAGTAATATACTTTTGAGATGAGCATGATTGGTAAACTAACTTTCTTTATAGGTCTCTAAGTGAAACAACTTAATGATATGATTTTCATATCTCAATCAAAATATGCAAAGGAGCTAGTTACAAAATTTGGTTTGAAGATTCAAAGTATTTGCAAACTCCTATAAGTACTTCATTCAAATTGGATGGAAACTTTGATCCTAAAAAGGTTGATCATTCTTTGTATAGGAGTACTATGATTGGTAGCTTGTTATATTTAACAGTTACTAGGCCAGATATTTCATTTAGTGTACGTTTTTGTGCTAGGTATCAAACTGATCCTAGAGAACAATACATTCTTGCAGTCAAACGCATTATTCACTATGTCAATAATACATTGAATTATAGAATATTGCATTATTCTTCTGAGTCTAACTTTGAGATTGCAAGCTATATTGATGCTGATTGTGCTGATCAAGGTACTATCATTATCTTTTGTGATAATACTAGTATAATTAATATTTCAAAGAATTCAGTTTTGCATTCTAAGATTAAGCATATTAACATTCGAAAAATTCAAATTCGGTGCTCCCAAACGCCAATAAATTTATGAGTAATGGCTTTTCATACTTCAAATGGGTCTTAACGTACTCTAAAGTCTAAAGTATTCATATCAAGGGAAAAAGGCTGGGCATAATTCCCATTCTTCTAGGAAGAAAACGCCGGTAATATGAAACTAGTGCATATGACCCTTTGTATCCATCACCTTGCATAAATGTATATAAATACAAATCATAATTTCAGTAAATTGAACTTCATTATTTTCACATATCTATAATGTAAAAATAAATAATTAAATATATATACAATCTCGTAGAGATCAAGTCAAACGTTAAGATGCCTTCTACGAAACGAACAACGTGCTAAATTGCAACTACTAACAATAACCAAAACGTGAAAATTAGTTTCTCCATCTTAGCTTTTTGCATGCATAAATATTATACGTGTTTTATTATTAGTGTATATTATTGATGGGTATATACACTTTTTATAAAGGTAGAGAGATCACTTACGTATACATTACTTAGTTATGCAATGTTGTCTCAATCTTTTATAAATAGTTAGATTTATTTACTCAGTTAATATTGATTAGTTTTCCTTTAGTAACCCTAATTTCACTTTCAATCAAGGTAAGGAACAAATACAAAAACATGTCCTCAAAATTAATTACCAAAAAAGGTAATTTATAAGTTGGCCAAATAATATAATATTAATCTGAAATCTATTTAATTAACCACCAAGTAATGAAATATATTACATATCCAAATCATGTAGCCCACATGAATAAGAAATAATCTTACATGTAATTAGCTGTCACATGTCTTTTATTTATTTTATTTTTTTGTGCATTCTCATTATTGTATAAAGTTGTACGTAGCATCAGGAGGTTATAAATTACAATTATGAATATTTTAGTTTCTAATATGAATATTATGCATATAATTTATTGTTTACAAAAATATATGAGCACAAAAGTACACTCTTTTGTTCAATTTAATTCAGTTATATAAGAATCCTTCTCTACTCTGTTAATAAGGAAAAAAAAAAAAAAAAAAAAAAAAATACATCGATTGATAGTTTTCATGTAAAATATTTTATAAAATTTAAGCTTAAAAAAGTACTTGATTTTATTTCTCATTTAAAACTTTTACGTGATTTCATATTTCAAAAAGTTAAACAGAGAGTGCCCTGCATTTCTGGTTAAACATGAATTTGGTTGAGGAAGTTTTCTTGTCCTTTCTTGGGACTTGATATAGTGAAATAATACTCTCCATTTTCACCATAGATTGTGTTATAATAGTTTGTATAGTAGGAAATGGGTCGATTCAATCTAAACTGGGGAGAAACAAAAATAAAATAAAATAAATAAAAATATAATAATAATAATAATGCATAGTGGCACAACTTAGGGGCACCATGAGAAAACTATGAATTCATCTTATATTTCGTCAACTTATTAACACCCACGTCTACAGTCCTCCACCACCAACTTGGATTGCTTGTGTGGGACATACGTGTTGTCATGTACAAATTAAAGGTGTTTGATTTATTTACACAAAGGTTGATGGAATATGGAGGGAAGAGAATTTTTTTTTTGGTCGATTACCATAAAAATTATAGAAAAAGAAAATTTGAAACAACATAAAAAATTATTAATTTACATGTCATGGACAGTAGAATGAGGGTAAATATTAAAAATATCAAATCAAATAGTCTTAAATTCTTGTCCCAATACTAATTGTCACAACAATGTTATAGACAACCGAATGTTAACATAGGAATGTTATCATACATATTAGATGAGATATAAATAAAATTACTTCCTCTGTCTACTTGATTTAGGAAACGAGCAAACCATCATTGTTTTTGCCGAAAATGCCCTCACTGTAAGTAGATTTAATCATATCCCAAAGGAGAGCAAATTGCCTGGATGCAAATAATATCACGGGTGTGGTAGAAAAAACACTTACAGGAGCAAGAATTCATGTTGTCTTTTGTCCAAAAATTAGGTGGAGTGTGGCTCCAAAGGCTACCATCATAGACACCATGGCGACGAACAAAGTTATGAGACCACAAATTAATCTTTTAGGCAAAGTGTAGAGAAAATCAATCTTTGCGTAACGCGACGTAAGAATGGACAAAAACATCAATAGAGATGAAGCAGACGAAAAAAGAGCTAACGCATCTGATATCATAAAGATTATAAAGGCTTTATCTCTGGAAAGAATTGGGAGGTCGCTCTTGCCATCGCTTCCACCTGGTACCGTAATGACAGCTGCAAATACTATGGTGACAATTAGAGCTGCTACAATTGTACATGAATTAGTAGTGTCTTTTAACCATTTTTCCCCTTCTTTCATTAAGTCCTCGTGCGTCTCGGAAAAGATCATTGCAGGTGTCTTTCTTCCAATGTTAAACTTGCTATCGTACATAAACGAAATTTTTTCTACTCCCTGCAATAAATTGAATAGTTTTCGATTAGAAAACAAATTTGATCTGTTTTAGAAATTGAGAGTTCAAAATACGGGGTGGTGTAAAGAAATTTACAATTTATATATATTTTTTAAAAAAAGAAAGGAATTTTAATTTAGGTATTCTTCTTTTCGTTCCTTAATCAAATTCATTTATAAAAAATAAAAATAAATAAAAAAAATGAAACTAAATTTCAATACCATCAACTCGTCCAGGGAGCATATAATGGTGCGTTACAGGATTGGGATGCCCAGGGACTTGTATGTCTTAGACCTTTACTTGTGAAAATAAAATAAAAAAATTTAGACCCATTTTATATTGAACCATAGTATCATCCAGCTCGCTTTAACGCCTTCAAGTCTTAAGATCTATGCAATTTTAAATGCATCAATCACATTAAATTTCTTTTAATTTCAAAATCAGAAAGCTAATTCGATAATTCCAAATGTAATATAAAATGCTTACGAATGTATTATGTGGAATGATATCATGGAAATGGTTATAGTTTGTGCTAGCTCAAACCAGATTAAATTTTCAGTTTCTTTACTGATTGTATTAAACCAGTGATGCTGTCCAAAACTAATTTGGATGGGGCCGTTAAGAAAAGTAATATAAGAAAAAATATATATATATATATTATAAGGAACAAAAGAACTTTTATATTAAATGATATTTTCATAAAAAATTGTTCATACGACCATTTTGATTTTTTTTTTTCTTCATAAATACTTTTCTTTAATTATTATCAAGATAACGTATTAAAAGTTGAAAAAATTCCAGGAAGACTCATTTGTACTCTTAATTTTTAAATTTTAAAGTATAAAACTGTGAATTTATATATTTGATATGATTAATTGATTATAGTTTTTTTATTTTTATTTGTATTGTTATTGTTTTTTGCAGACCAAAACGTTAGAGACAATTTTAGAAAATTTGTGGTGAACCCACATTCAAGAAGTCTACCATATTAATAAAAGATAATATATTAGAGAATCAATAAACAAGTTTAGGGAGAGATTAAACAAGCAAAAATCTTTAATTTACTCCATTTAAGAGATTTTACTAAAAAAATAAAAAATAAAAATTATAGGTTGCAGAGTAATAGGATTTTAGAAAAAGTTCAGCTATAAAATATAAATAAATCAAATCAAATCAAATTTAAGAAGACAGACATGTATTGTAAATGAGAAAATAAAGAAAATTACTATCACAAGGCAAATTATTAAAATGAATATATAAAAAATATTACCTTAAACCATTGCAATTCAAGTTACATTTGTAGAGCTGCGCCAGCTGCATTAGCTTTGAGTTTGCTACTTTGTTCCTTCTTTAAACATGCAACTAGATCCAGACTAGTGTTAAGCGATTAATCAAGCCATGTTAAAAGATAATTGATAATAGGCTCTTCAGAAAGTTGATAAATAAGTTTAAATACGTCTCTTTGACGTTTTAAAATTGCAATTTGAAATAATTTTTGTCCTTCTTCATTTTTACTATATATTGCTTCAGGGAATATTAAAACGATCTCTTCAACAACTTTAGGAATCCCAAAAATTGTTGCGGCAATTACTGATCTTCTAACTCTATATCTAGCTTCTGAAAAATCTAATTTTTCATATTCCATGCAAAGATGTCTGACAAGTTGAATTGCGTGATCATGCTTCCATTTTATCCTTCGGACGTGCTCGATCCATGGCACTGTTTTAAGGCGAATAATTTAGCAGGATGCAGTATGTATTGCAAATAATTTCTAGTAATTGTCTTTGAACATAAAAACTTTTTTCGCGCATATACATGTTCCTTACCTAACATTTCAGCAACTTTCCAAAATACACCCAACAACTTTTGCTTCATTGTACCTGCCAATATATATATATATATATATATATATAGATATATAATAAAAATACTTCATCACACTTATACAACAAAACTAAACAAGTCGAAATCAAAGAGAAGTTTAAGAAGAATACAAATTAAACGATCCTTGATTTTATTCTTCAATTTTTATTTATTTTTTTGCTTGATAATATCAATGCAACCACTAAAACCACCTTCCATTAATTTTTAGATGTCATATGCCATGAATAAAAATATTATTTATGTTATTATTTTTTATATCAAATAAAATATCATACAAACTACCTAAGTTAAAATTGATTAGTCCTAAAATTTTGTGGCCCAACCAATGCAGGCTGTAAAACAAGCCAGAAGCTTCATGGTCTGGCCCACTTCTACGGCATTACCATAAATTGGTTATTGTCTTCTAAAAAGTCATACTCCCCTACTGGATTCTAAAATAAATTAAAATTTTATTTTAGAGTTTCTAAGGGCACATGGATTCTCTAAAAATTACAAACATATATAACTCCCTAATTTAATATTTTATATTGTTAATCTGAAAAAGTTTATAATTGTTAGATAACATAGGAAATATAGACATTTTATTATGGACTAGAGGGGCTAAATCGTTGTAGAATTGTAGTAGAAGCTAACATGCAAAGATGGAATTAACATTTCAAGTCTTACCAATATCCCCATAAAAAATAAAAAATAAAGGAAAAAATCAATATATCAAATAGAGAGAGAATTGTTGGAATTAAATTAACAGACCAGAAATGCAGCAATGGGTAGGATTCTCAACGTCTCCACAGCTACAATGGTACGTAGACATCTAGATTAGAAAACAATAAGCAGTCAATTTCTCTACTACAATGGCATATAGACTTTTCCAACTTCACAAGAATATTTCAAAAAAAGAAAGCAATAAGCAGTTAAATATGCTTGTACAGAACTTATATACTTTATATGAGAGTCATCTAGCTCAAATGGAGAGGGGAGTGGTTCGAACCCACTAGTGGGTATCAATGAAAGGTGTGGTGTGCTTAATTTACTTAGTAATATTGATTCTTAAATATATATATATATTCCTAGATTATAAGGAATATATGTTGATTTATATTCCTAAGTTTCTTTCCCATAAGTAGTTATAATACTGTTTTTTTTTTTTTTAATCCTACTATAAATCCTAATATATTTTTTTTAAACCTATGACCAATTAAATAACAACCAGTATTGCTAAAAGATCCATAGATGAAGAAGAGAGAGAGGATAGAATAGACTAACAAAAGTAGATTAATCTTTCCCAAAAGTTGAATTTTGTTCCACTCTTGAATGCAGAATTTTCCATAGCAATTACTTCCAACATAATATATATATTGTGCTGGGTTTCCCAAGCAATTAATGCACCATAGCGCTGATCAAGGAATAGCAGAGCAATGTCTGTTAAAGAGAGAGGAAAGAAAAGGTTAACTACAGAAGAAGGAACTTTTACGAGTATTTCATATTGCATTTTCTATTTCTATTTTCTATAAAAATAAAAATTATACTCACCGTATAGACCACGCATTATCAAAGCAGCAACAAATCAAGGCCCATATTTTACAAAGTCGTCTTTTCCGGTGACGTCCAGTAAGTAAAGAACCATATTCTTGTAGCCAAAGAAAGCAGCTACGTGGAGAGGTAGTAATTGACGATCATTTTGAATATTGGGCAGACGTTGGTCCTCGGCCACTAACAACTTGGCTACCTCAATGTTGTTAGCTGATGCTGCTAAATGAAGACATGTCTCACCTTTGTGATTCCTTTTAGTCACATGTGATGACGACATAAACTCCTCCAATAGATGCTTAACAAAATGATATCTCTTCTTGGTCTGAGACCTAACTGCTATCATCAGTATTGTATCCCCCTCTCCAGTGATGTCCGCACTCACTGCATCTTCGTGTTGTTCCAAGAATTCTTTCGCTGTCTCCCACTCACCTCTCAGTGTTGCTCTATGCAGCGCCCGATAAAAGCCTACATCTTTTTCTTCGCCTTCTTTGTTTTTCACTTTCATTCAAATTAAACAAACATAAATATTTATACTCTAGTGTATAATAAATAAACCATTATCATAAACTAAAAGGAAATCAATAATAATCAAAAAATATTATCATAAACTATCTATCTATATATATGTGTGTGTGTGTGTGGTGCAAGAGATTGAGCTTACTCGTTTCACTTCTTTTATGGGAACTGTTTAGAGTAAGGATTTTTCCTAACTTAGCCCACATATCATGGGCAGTTTCCAAGCCCACCACACATGCAAGAACATCTTCTTGATCGATAGTCTCCATTATCCAGCTTTGCACTAGCCCGTCTGTTCTGTTGGAAATAGTGGCCTAGTTACACACACAACACTATACTATTTGGAAGAGAATAGAAATAGAGGAAAATACTTTTTATTTCACTTGATAAAAAATGAGTACAATGTATGGGTTTATATAAGCTTCAAAACATAAATGTAAATGAAACTTAAAACCCCACTAACATATCATTTAGAAGGCAAAACTCCCACTAACCCACTAACATGACCATTTAGTAGGCAAAACTCCCACTAACCCACTAACATGACCATTTACTAGTTGTAACTCTCATGCCCCCACTAATTCCAATAAAAAAACTCACATAAATATAAAACACCAAATAAAATAAAGTTTAATTTCTAACATGTTCTACTCCATGCCTCACGCCTATTATTGTTCTTCCAGGCCTTGTCTCTTAATAAGACAAAGCATCAATTTTCTCCACAAAGTGTAGTTTTCTCTAGAGAGCTTGACCGGAACATAGTCTTCCACATTAACCTCTACAGGGTATGGGTATTCTACACAAAATTAATTGAAGCAGGTCAGTTTTGCAGTGTCATGTTATCAAAATGAAATAAATAGTCTATATGTAATTATGTATATACCCATTTACACATTAATCAGGGTTTTTCCCAAGTAACCTTACCAATTAGAGTTCTAGAATTGAACAGTCTCTCTAACTCTGTCCACGTATCACTGGCAGTTTGCAAACCCAAAACACTTGGAAGGAAGCTTTCATTCACTGTCCTTGTTATCTAACTTTGCAACAACCC